AGGATGCCTCCTGGACCTCCCTGGTGAGGTCTTCCGGGCACGTCCAACAGGGAGGAGACCTAAAGGAAGACCCAGGACACGGTAGAGGGACTGTCTCTCACCTGGCCAGAGAACACCTTGGGATTCCCCCAGAAGGGCTGGCCCAAGTGAGAGGGAGAGGGAAGTCTGGGCCTCTCGACTTAGGATACTGCCCCTGCGATCCGACACAGGATAAGCCGATGAAAATGGATGTTTAACATGTTTTGGTATATGGTAAATGGCCTGTATTTGATATAGCACCTTCTAGAGTCCTGAACCCCCCAAGGTGCTTTACAACACAATCAGTCATTCACCCATTCACACACACCTTCACACCCTGGTGGGGATGAGCTACATCGTAGCCACAGCTGCCCTGGGGCGCACTGACAGAGGAGAGGCTGCCGAGCACAGGCGCCACCGGTCCCTCCGACCACCACCAGCTGCTTCATTCATTAGCTGTAGTAAAAAATGGCGTCTGGCGACAGCGCAAGCATCTTTCTTTAGAAGAAAGGCTTTTAGCGCTTCTACTTGCTGTGGTTTTAAAGACATTCAAGTAATTTAGAACAGAGGAAAGAGCCGCAGCGAACTCCGCTTCAGTCGTTGTGGTGTGTGACGTACGCTGCTCAGCGCTGATTGGCTCAGTCAGAATTCTCAGGGGACGGGGTCATTTGAATGGGAGAGTTCCCAGGCCCTTTCTCTGTGCAGAATTAAACAGAGGAGGAGTCTGGCAGGCCAGGCTACATAAACACACTTCGTATTAGTTCAGACAGAGTCAGGTATATAGTTTATAAAATGAATTTAATAATTTTTCTTAAACTAATAATTTATACATGACAAGATATGAATAATGAGATGTGGTGTAATTGATATGGAGTGATTTAATGTGATGTGTGAAATGTAATGGAAGATAGATGTTTTAGCAAAACCATTCTCTGTATCTGAGAGAATATGTGAAGTCTGGGTTATAAAATAATTTGTTGTTTGTTTATAAAAGTCATCAGACGCGATCTGTTGTGTCGACTATACACTTGTGGAAACCCCCCAGCAGATCCAGTCTGTCAGAAGTCGGGTGAACCTTTACCTCAAGGTATACGGAGCCCGTAGACTAGCTCCGATACGACCCGTCCGGTCTTGAGATATCTCCAGGTCATAACAGGAAGCTGCAATTCTTGTCAGCATCCAAGGTGGATCTTTGGCTCTTAAAAGAGCCGTTTGGGCTGTTGCAGCTTGCAGCATGCAGAGGCTTTTGACTGGATGCCAAGTTGTTATTTGATATCCCCACTTGAAAGGCGCCTAATTTTTCCAGGGACTTGATGGGGTTCCACTCCGGTTTATAAGTACCACCAGCCACTTCCTCCATTACGTTTCATTTATTCACCTATGTGTTATTTACAACAAAGGTAGTTTGAATGCAAGGTGTGGACTTCTGACGGAGCACCAGGTGAAAACCTTAAACAAACATTCAGGAGAAACATCAAACAGCACCGTTGGTCTACACCTTAAGATACTTCCTACATGACCACTTTTAAGGCGTGTTTTTCTTAGGCCTTTTTTTTTCTCATTAAAATCCACGTAAATCTACATTAAACATACATAATAATCTTGACCCTTCAAACAGCTGCACTTAAATACACAAAACACATAACTATTTTTAAATATAAGGTTAAATACATGATCAATGGGTGCATACACCCATACAATACACAGTTAAACAATGAGTTAACAAATCATCCATCGCTCTCTCTAGCTATTTACAAACATTTAGGCGTACACCGCCGGATGACGTCGCGTTCAGCCAATGTGACGAAAGTGACCCATTTACCGAAGGTAACGGCAATACTCGCACAAACATTTATGCAAAGTCAATGCAAAGATCTCTTACCGGTCGCTGTCCTGGTATTACTTCTCTATTGGTTCTTTCCACCAGGCGGGTGGCCAGCGTACAAACTGTTTCTGTTCATATCCTACTCCTCTCTCGCGCTCGCCATGTTGTGTTACATTTATAGACTCCAGCCAAGGGCCGCACATTGGTTCCTACCTGAGAGAACTCACATTTTTGTGTATGAGACGCACGAGAAAATAACTGAATAAATACAACTGGATACAATTACACACTTTCATGTTAATACAAACCATATATATACATTCTCTTTAATATTTTTTTTTAGTTTGGTTTTCTTTGAGTTCACGGAAATGACTCAACACTGGATGTCAAAAGAGATGGTCTCAAAAATGCTTGTTCCCGAATTGGCCGGTTCGAGAGTCAGCTAGAAACTGAACTAATCGGGAAGCGGGTCTGAGAAGCTGTTAGAAATAGCGTTAAAGTCGCTAAGTTAATTTGGCAACACTGGGAGGAGCGCTTCATTTGCAACTCAAGGCAGCGCAAGTGGGAGGAGCAAATAATCGGCTTGTTTTGTTTTTATAATCGTTCAAAACATTTCATTCGGAATATATTTCTATGTCGATGTTCAGAATACGACATCTGATAGTCTGAAAAAAATAATACCTAATTTGGAAAAAATAATACCTCTGAGACCAAATTTAACACTTTTAATGGGCTTAAATTTGACTATTTTTATTTATCACTTTTTAATACTTTTTAAAACCCCGCGGACACCCTGATTAACATTCATGAGTATATTATTGTAATGTATATGAGTGTAAACAATGATTAACTTGTTAAATCAACACATGCTGATAAGACCTGAAATGGATCATTGTAAGAGCAATATTCATTTTAAAGCCATCATTGATTAAAGCACAGGTTATTCAAACATTTGATTTAAACATCTTGTTCATTCATCACATATGATTATTTAAGCTTATGAGGTGTAAAGTCCTGTAGGAGCTTCAAGTAGGGTGAGGAATCAGCAGTCTGGCTTTTACACAGAGACCTTTGTATGCAAACAAGCACTGCGCAGAACATTCTAGATTTGGAGGCCTGATAGAGGGCTTATGTCTAGAAATGAAAGGTCATCCTGTGGTCAATTAGATGGTGAAAACTGACCCTTTGGTATGTTACACCAGCCATCTGATCCGAGCGTACAACCAAAGGCTAAAACTCTCCAAGCCTGTTGTGAAGTCAACAAAACAGTGGAGCAACGATGCTGTAGATGAGCTCTGCACATGGTCCAGGCTCTGAAGATGGATGCCCAGGTCAATAACACAGTTAAATCATGTTTTTACCAACTAAGACGCATCTCAAAACTAAAGCACATCCTGAGTGTACGTCTTCTGAAATCGGTGGTCCACACTTTTATCACCTCAAGGCTGGATTACTCCAACTCCTGCTTATACGGCATCAGTAAAGCAGCTCTCTCTAGACTTCAGCTGGTCCAGAATTCAGCAGCTAGGTTGCTGACTGGAGCTGACAGAAGACAACACATTTCTCCAATTCTGAAATCTCTCCACTGGTTGCCCGTGCAGTTCAGGATAAACTTCAAAATTATGCTTCTCACTTACAAATCCTTGAACCATCAAGCTCCTCCATATCTGTGTGAACATGTCCATTACTACAACCCGCCGCGTGCTCTCAGGTCTGAAGATAAGCTCCTCCTAGCTGTTCCCAATGCACGTTTAAAAAGCCGTGGAGAGAGGGCTTTCTCTGTCTGTGCACCCAAGCTGTGGAACGCATTACCACTGCTAGTGAGGCTAGCACCAACAGCTAGCATTTTTAAATCACGCCTGAAAACTCACTACTTCAACCTAGCTTATACAACATAGTTATGAACCTCACTGACATCTGCACTGTTTAAAAATGGACTCCACAATTATCGACTTCCGTACTATTGAGGTTCTTTGTAAAATGTTTTTTTTCCTATTTTTACTTCACCCTGTGTCTTATTGATTTTGAGCTGTTATTTTTGGGAATTTTGTTGTATTTCCTTTTTATCTTTTATCTGTGTTCGACATGTTTGTATACCGCCGGTTTAATTAACCAACATTTTTAGTGTACAGCGCCTTGTTTGGTTGTAATGCCTTGTGAATGCGCTTTATAAATAAAATTGGATTGGATGTTTAGAGACTACAGACTGGGAGGTAATGATTGCTGCCTCTGACAGTTTAGATGAGTTCACAGATACCGTCACCTCCTACATCCACTTCTGCCAGTCAGCATCATACCATCCTGCAGCAGGGTGAGTTATAGCACTGCCAACGCCGGGTTTACCCCTAAACTAAAACAGCTGTGGTTGGTAAAGAGAGGAGCTTTAACAGGGTATATGCAGGGATCTCAAAATTAAATTAAAGACTCTTTCAAGACCTTTTAAGACCTTCTAAACTTTAAATTAAGACTTTATCGCAAAGAACTAATCAACTGTAAAACACTCAGATATTGTTTTTAATTACTGCATCGCTTTGTTTTCCAATTCATCAGCTGGCTGGTTAAGTCACATCTGGGGCAGCGAGGCTGGAGCAACGGTATGCAAAGCCACAAAAACGCAAGCAAACAGCTGGCACTGAAGAAGGAAAAATACTTTTACTAGTTTACATGCATCTATTTTTCATACCTGCAAACTCAGAGGCTGTGAAAAAGGTAACAACTAAAATTAACTGCCCCCAAACAAGGTCCTCGCCCGCTGCAGGTTTGCATCTCTTCTACAGTGGGTTTTGTGGTGACCTCTGACTTTTACATACTTTTATTTTATTAAGAATCATTTAAAAAACTTCTTTAGATCTATGTATGTTTATTTTCCACTAATGACATCTCACCGAGAGCATATCCATACTGTTTTGCAAGTTTTTCTTCTTAAATTCAAATATCTTATATATGTAGGGAAGATGTGCCTAAAAGGGTCTGTCAATGCGCCCCAGGGCAGCTGTGGCTACATCGTAGCTCATCATCACCAGTGTGTGAATGAATGAATGAATGAATGAATGAATGAATGAATGAATGATACACTGTATTGTAAAGCGCTTTGGAGTCCTTTGACTCTAAAAGGCGCTTTACAACTGCAGGTCATTAATTTATTTATCATTTAAATTATTAGTTTTTTTTGCAAATGAACTTTTCAAATATTTCAAAGCCTTTTATTTCACCGGTCAGTGTGGTTCTGCTTATAGCTTTTATAGTAAGTGTAAAAGATTACTACAGAACAAATACTAGTTTTCAGGTTCTACCTTGGTGAACGTACAAAGGAAATGTCTCCAGTCTAACGGGCTAGGACGGGGTGTGGACATGCCTACCTCCTCCCATTGAGTGAAGAAGGAAAAAGCATTGTAGGCAGTCACAGTGTTCTGCTGCTCTCCTCAGCAAGTCCACCATCGCCTCTCTGTGAATTGAACCGTACGTCATGTGCCCGACTGCCCTGGACACAAAGTTCAGTCAGAAATCAATTAGTACCATGGACTTGATTCACGGATAAAGGTCAGAACTTCCTCTGAGAGGCTTTTTTTTTTACCACTGATATAAAGAAAAAAATGTAATCAAAAATAATGCACATCTTTGGAAATTAAATATAACGTTACAGTTTGTTTTGTCTAGTATGTTTATCTCCATCCGACCAAACATAAAATCATTATTGAACATATTAATGCTGAGCTGCAGGGAGCTGGTTACAGGATCTACAGGCCAGGCCAACAACAGGATGGCCCCTCAAGAGGAAGAGGAAGAATTCCTGCGGTGCAGCGTAAAATTCCTTTCCCACTGACTCAAACACATACAGGTGCTGGCCAGTAAATTAGAATATCATCAAAAGGTTGAAAATATTTCAGTAATTCCATTCAAAACGTGAAACTTGTACATTATATTCATGCAATGCACACAGACCAATGTATTTCCAATGTTCATTACATTTAAATTTGATATTCATAAGTGACAACTAATGAAAACTCCAAATTTGGTATCTCAAAAAATTAGAATATTCTGAAAAGGCTGAATATAGAAGACACCTGCTGCCACTCTAATCAGCTGATTTACTCAAAACACCTGCAAAGGCCTTTAAAAGGTCCCTCAGTCTTGTTTTGAAGGCACCACAATCATGGGGAAGACTTCTGACTTAACAGCTGTCCAAAAGACAGTCATTGACACCTTGCACAAGGAGGGCAAGACACAAAAGGTGATTGCTAAAGAAGCTGGCTGTTCGCAGAGCTCTGTGTCCAAGCACATTAACAGACAGGCGAAGGGACGGAAAAAATGTGGTAGAAAAAAGTGTACAAGCTCTAGGGATAACCGCACCCTGCAGAGAATTGTGACGACAAACCCATTCAAAAATGTGGGGGAGATCCACAAAGAGTGGACTGCAGCTGGAGTCAGCGCTTCAAGAACCACCACGAGGAGACTCATGAAAGACATGGGATTCAGGTGTCGCATTCCGTGTGTCAAGCCACTCTTGAACATGAAACAGCGCAAGAAGCGTCTCGCCTGGGCCAAGGACAAAAAGGACTGGACTGATGCTGAGTGGTCCAAAGTTATGTTTTCTGATGAAAGCAAGTTCTGCATTTCCTTTGGAAATCAAGGACCCAGAGTCTGGAGGAAGAGCGGAGAAGCACAGAATCCACGTTGCATGAGGTCCAGTGTAAAGTTTCCACCGTCAGTGATGGTGTGGGGTGCCATGTCATCTGCCGGTGTTGGCCCACTCTGTTTCCTGAGGTCCAGGGTCAATGCAGCCGTCTACCAGGAAGTTTTAGAGCACTTCATGCTTCCTGCTGCTGACCAACTTTATGGGGATGCAGACTTCACCTTTCAACAGGACTTGGCACCTGCACACAGTGCCAAAACCACCAGCACCTGGTTCAAGGACCATGGTATCCCTGTCCTTGATTGGCCAGCAAACTCGCCTGACCTTAACCCCATAGAAAATCTATGGGGTATTGTGAAGCGGAGGATGCAATACGCTAGACCCAACAATGCAGAGGAGCTGAAGACGACTATCAGAGCAACCTGGGCTCTCATAACACCTGAGCAGTGCCACAGACTGATCAAGTCCATGCCACGCCGCATTACTGCAGTTATTGAGGCAAAAGGAGCCCCGACTAAGTATTGAGTGCTATACATGCACATTCTTTTCATGTTCATTCTTTTCAGTTGGCCAACATTAGAGAAACAAACATTTTTTCATTGGCCTTTAGAATATTCTAATTTTCTGAGATACCAGATTTGATGTTTTCATTGGTTGTCACCTATAAATATCAAAATTAAACGTAATAAACATCGGAAATACATTGGTCTGTGTGCATTGCATGAATATAATGTACAAGTTTCACGTTTTGAATGGAATTACTGAAATATTTTCAACCTTTTGATGATATTCTAATTTACTGGCCAGCACCTGTACAGGTAGCTGGGGGATTCTCTCAGTGCACTTTGAAGTTTTGGGTTACTGAGAAATAAACCACACAGAATTATGTTCATGAACATTGCATCTGATCAAGGACTATTTGAACCTTTGAGAAACATTGTTTACCCACCTTAGGCATAAAATACCAGACATACTTAGGAATATATTTGTGACCTATGTCGGTTGAAATTCTACCCCGTAACGGGGCAATTTAATTCCTGTCACACTATAATTATAAAAGATATTCAAATAAAGTTTTATTTGTTTTCTATTTTTAGTGAGGTTTTATTAAGTTTTTATTAGTAAGTTATTTATCTGTAGTAGAAAGACGGCCTTTTGCTGTGTGAAACTGGTTTTCAAACAGCTAGCTTCAACATGTGCTCGACTTTCAATTTCGCCTTATTTAAGCAAATTAAACAGAAACAAATATGTTTGTACAACGCAACTGTTTTCGCACAAGACAGTGTTTTTTAAAATTGACGAACACCCGTGTGAAAATTTGCTACGCAGTTTTAACTAACTGGATAACACTGGATCTAGCGGTGGAACATGATGCATTACGAGGTGAGATAATGACTAAAATTATTCGTATCGTATTCTGCTCCATCTACAAGTTTAGAGCACTGATAAAGGTTGAAGTAAACCTTCGATGCATACTTATTTTCACTTATTAATCGCGGGAATATGCGCGCGTAGGACAATTAATGCCTTCTCGCACCATAGTCAGTGGTGGAAAAGGCGGATTGATACGCCGGTTGTTCGGTTTAGCAGGTTCTAAACATGCCTGTTTGCCGGATTAAAAATTGAGAAAATGTCATATGAAAATTATGCACTTAAAAAATGTTGCATCGTCCTGATACGATTTTCCATGCGGGTGAAATGGTAGGAAATGGCATATTTTTGTTAGATACTAGCTCATTAAGGCTAGTAGTTAGGCACTGTGGCTCGGACACTCACGTCCCCTCACACACGGCACAGAAGTTAAACTTGTATGTGGACGCCTTTTTAATTTTTTAAGACTAGGGCCACCGCCGGAATGTACCTGCTTTTAAACCGCATCGGCGCAGGCAGCAGGTTCACATACTTGCTGCTGCACGGCACTGCATGTAGTACTGAAGTGTTCCACTATGGTGCACATTAGTTAGCTCAGACCAAACAGAGAGCAGGGTTTGTGGGTACACAAACATGGTGTAACGTCCAGCAACGGTCAGTTTAGGTACTGTTTGACCATTCAACATCTGGTCAAAAAGGAGACATGAGACTGCACTTCTGAGATTCTTGGTAACATCCAAACTTGTCAACCTTTGGTTGGCTACACAATCATAACATGAAAACATTAATAAACCAGATCACGCTGGTGATTCTTTAGTTCTAGAGAAGCTTCAGGCCGGCCACCTGAAGCAAAAACCTCTTTAACCCAACAACGTTTTTGACACGTCGTCAAAACCTTTTTGCACCTGTGAAGCTGATGAACAACAGTTCCTGCAGAACAAAGCTGATATTGTTCAACTCCCTAAGAGTTATTCCTGAGATGCAAGCTAGTCCAACCTGTGTGCCTGGTGGCATCTCGGGACTGGGGAAGTCGGTACTTGTGGTCAATCTACTGGACCTGGGTGCCCCGAGGTCATCCGACCTCTCCGACCTCCGAATCCGCAGCGAGGGTCACCAAAAGGGTGAGGTACAACACAGTGAAGGTTGCGTCTGATGTGCTTCTGATGATAAAAACTTCATAGCTTAGCGCAAACCAAATTCTTTTACATCCAGACTCAGCTCTTCTAGATAAGGAGATTCTGACTAACACCGCATTGACGCATAGTTATACATCACATTTAGTTCCATCCACTCACAGTAAATGCTTAGTTAACCCGTCATGTTTTAATCGTTTATAAAATAAATTCTTACTTTTCTAAACCTGACTCTTTTCTGAATCAAAACGAAGTTTGTACAATTACTTCATAAAGCAAACATCCTAGAATCTTCTGATAAACACAATACAGACCAAGCAGGATTGATATTTTATATTTAATTTGAGTACCACAGCTCATTAGTCATAAGTAGAGGTAATATATATCTTGAGCTCTTAAAGCACTCAATTTGCCAACGCTACAATGGAGTCAATAGAAGAGATCGGTAACTGGTTAATTTTGAGTTCACGATGGAAAAAAAGACAGCAGTAGCGTAGATAGTATGAAAGACCTCTAAACCAGAGACTGGGTCATTGTAAGTGTGTTTTGCTCGTTTTGTCAACTCCACCTACTGTTTACTCGTACATTGCTGCGTTCGGACGCGTCGCGTTAATTTTGGGAGACGCGCACAAACGTGGCAGATATTTTAAACACGCGCTCGCATCGTTAAACAGCAAGTATATCACGGCCCTAATGGTAATACTAATTATTACAGTATAAAATGTGACGGCAATTCTCATAGAAGTAGTTTGCTTGCTAATCGCCATTTTTAAAATGGCAGCAGTTTGTGGCCTGGTTAGTAATTCTACAGTTTATTGAAACTCCTCGTGCTGCAAGTGTTAGATTAACATTACAAATTTTCAACTGCTGCAATGTAGTTTTCCATTTTTTTAAAGCATTTACATCAGAAAGCACAACATCAGAATATATTTGTGTTTTTTCAGTTATTTTTATTTATTTTTTTGGTATTTTAATCTGATTACTTTAAATGGTATATTATTTATGTTGAAGGATGCAAGCTGTGCGTGTAAAATATCTAGAGCAACAACAGTACATCCGTTATGAAGGCCAACTAACATATAGATCTTTTTTGGAAAGCAGTGAGTGCAAACATCACAAGTTTCTAGAATTTTTTTTATGTAACTTTCTGCCTTTTTTCCCTACATGTTGCACTTTTTTTTTTTGTTCACAGTTGCCATAAAGTTCAACATCCCAACCACGGATGTAAAAGTCTTAGATTACTCACAGACTGAAGTTGATGAGAAGGTTTTTTATTTCCTTCTGACACAAAAAAAACTTGGGTGTGCTGGAGATTTGTCCAGTACACTGTCCACATCCAGAAGGTATGTCATTTCAAGTGTCCTACTATGTTTTGGGGACGGGGCATCATTGGAAGAAACAAATGATAATTCACACATGGAGGAGGGCTAGTGTGAGCTGCGAGGTCCAGCGTTACATGAATCTTGGGGAGCAGCAGTGGAGACTGAGTGAATTACGCTGTCTACCACTTAGCTAGTAGGGGAAGACTGGCTTGAGCCAGGGATTCTTGATCTCTGGGGACAGTGGTGGAGATTGAGGGGACAATACTGGCTGCCGGTTAGCCGCAGGAAGACTGGAGCGTGTTGGGAGAGAGATAACTGGTTGTGGGAGGACAAGTAACTTTAAAAGAGGTCTTGAAGAAGGACTTTGGAACTGATACGTTTGGAAAAGATACAAGAAATATAAATGGTGTAATGCCCAAAACAACTGTCACTTTAAACAATATCATTCATTTTGTGGGTCCTGGCTACCTAACAAGTTCCGAGTGAGACCAACTTACAGATCTGCTAAATTGTTTGTTCAATTCATTTAAAGTGATCTGGTTTTAAGGTATTGTTGACTACTAAAATACTTGTGCTTATTTGTTTAGTGTTAAATACACAATTTTTATGTTTCAATAATTTGATAGATCAGCTGACTCTCCTTAATATCAGCGGATGGAGGGCCCACGGTTCGTTTAACTGCCGTGCGCCTTTCCTGTCTGGAAAGTGGGCTGTCCCTTCATTAACTTCCCCACTGATTACACATTGGTGTCACCTGTGGACACACAGTCCAACACCGCCCAGTTCCACGTTACAATACTGAGCAAACTGCTAAAATCATTGGCACTCTACAAGCTATTTGAAGTGAGGACACAAGAAACCAGTATCAAGACTGTTAAGCTGCTGTTTTTGTAGCTGCGTGTCTAAGCTGTTCAATAAAACACCATAAAAACCTTTAGTAAACCCTTACCTGTGATGAAGTGATCACTGCTAACTGTAGCATTTTCTGTTTCTGCTCATCTTGCAGCCGGAGATTATGATCCACTATTCCGTCTTCGTTCAGTAAGTATCAGTAAGTCCTTTATGTGCACTACTTTCGGGACACGAAAAAAAATGTAAGTTTGTTTTTGTTCCGATCGCATGGAATTTGGGCATTTTTACACCCAGTCACAAAGTAAATAAAGCCTGGGGCACACCGGAGGCAGAAGCATTGTGCCACGCCCGCAATTTACAGAAGTCAAGTGGTGACACAGCACGTGCCACTAAGCGCTTCTTGGAAAGCCACTCGTTAGTCACAACATCATGCGGAACTTGAGAACAGGAAGCGGGAAGTGACTCTATTGTTTACACGTGATCAGACTTGCTGTCGTGTTTTTTGAGACTAATTCGTTAACAGTGCGTAAGTATGCTATTTATTAAAATATTTTAAGACAATAGTACTTTAAAGTTAGCAAAACTGCGGCTGGGTTTGTGCCGTGCAGCCGGCCACTACTAGAGACTGGCATATATTTACCCCCGCTGCCAGCGAGACCGGCTAATGTCAGAGACCAGGCCGGTAATGGAATACAGGCCAATATTACAGGCAGGGTCCGAAATTAACACTCGCATCTCGCCAAATGCGAGCAAATTGCTCCATTTGGCGAGTACATTTTTGAGCTCTATCTGCCACATAGCGAGTAAATGTTTGCACCAAATTAGTTATGTTTATCAGTCACCTTCCATGGATTTCTGTGATACTCCTTCCGCCTGCATGCAACGTACACAAACGTACGAGAAACGTGAGCGCTGCATCCAACGTCATTTCCACCTATCCCATTCAATCAGTTTATCAAGTTAGCAGTTAGCTTCGTGTTAAAACTAGCGGTGAAATGTGGCGGGTTTTAACTGGAGTCAGCCAGCCTTCCAAAAGAAAACTCGTCGAACTGGAAGAAAAACCACCAGGACCAGTGGCAACCAGAAGATTTTGTGAAAAGTGGCGAACTGGAGATGGCGGAGTCGTAAGACAATGGCTACATCATGAACCAGAATCTGCGCAAATGAGCTGCACCGTCTGCCGCCAGCACGCTCGAGAGAAGAACTGTAACTAAACTTGTTTTTCATAGGAAATAAGACAATGAAGCTTGAGACTATTCGAGAACATGAAAACAGCAAATGCCAGACTGCCTGCACATCCATGTCCCGGGCTCAATCTGAGTCTCTACTGGTGACACCCACGGTCTCTGCGCTAATGGCTATGTCAGAGAAAACAAGGAGTCTGACTAGATTTCAATTAAAGAGTTCATAAAAACATCTCTAAAAAATAAATAAATAGTAAAATGACAAAAGAGTTGTTTTTCTAATTAATTGATGTTTTAATTATTTTGTCACTCTGGTAGGAATCAACATAATATAGAATTACATGCTTTAGGTAGATCTAAATCATTTAGAATTTTGGCCGGTAAAAAATATGCTTGGCCGGTAGATTTTCATCATCTACCGGCCAACTTGGCCGGTGAGTCAAAAATTTTTATTTCAGACCCTGATTACAAGATTTACAGAAGATGTAAAAGATTGTGAAAGATTAATGTCATGCCACAATGGCTCTGCCCCACATGAGCCTGAAAGACTCCTGTGGTGACTGTCACTCACCAGTTGTTGCCTGAACCTGAAGCGTCTTTGAGAAGCTGATTGCTATCAAACACTTCCTTTAGTGGGCCTTGCAAGATCTCACTGAGTACTCCTTCCTCCATATCCACCAGCACCGCCTGCATGTCAGAAAGGTGAGAATGGAGCCATGGCAAAGTCTTGTATTTAGACAAGTGTTATTAAACAGAGAGCATGTTCCTCCACCACCACGGCCCTTATTCATGAAACATTCAAACATAGAAATATTTCTATGAGTGTCTGAAATGTCTTATCCCAACTTGCCCCTCTTTTTGCTTGCTGGGAAACCTGGACGATGTCCCGATAGAAACACCTTTGGTTCACATGGTTCTTACTGCCATATGCATTGCTAAGAAAACTATCCTCATAAGTTGGAAAAATAGAGATACTATTTGCATTAACTAGGGCTGCAATGATTCGTCAACGTTGTCGACAAATATCGACAATAGAAAAAGTCGACAACGAATTTCATTGTCGATGTTGTCACCAGACGTGTTTTTTCCGACCGAATGAGGCATCTCACTTCATTACAATCTCTACCGAGAGTTGCACGTGCACAATAGCTTCTCTGCTGAGCGCCAACTAACAGGAATGGCGGCGTCCAACACCGCAGCTACGCGTACCAAAACATCTAAAGTTTGGGAGCATTCTAGCCTGGATTCGGCGAATAAAAAGATTACCTACATTATTTGCAAAGCAGTCCTTGCGTATCATGGCAGCACCTCGGTGATGCATGAACACTTAAAGAGAAAGCACGTCGGACAGTTGAATGAAACAGAGCCTGACTCACCTCAGTAAGATTTAAATAACACGAAAGCCAATACGTTCTGTTTTGGATGTACATTGAACATATTTTAAACGTATTTTTACTTTAGAAAAAGAGATTTAATGTTATGCCCGACTGTGCCTGACAAAAGTATTTTAATTTTATTTATGCATTTATGTCTATAATGACTGGGCACTGTGCCTAATTAGTGTTAGACAGGGCATTTTTATTTACTTGTAGTATGAATTGGCCTGTCAGCAGCAAACTTAAATAAAATATGCAGTTTCCATTGAAGTACCCATCTTTCTTGTGTTTATTATAATTTTTTACATAATTAAAGCAATCTCATGCTAAATTTAAGAAAAATTTAATGGATTACCCAATTAGTCGACTAATCGTTTCAATAGTCGGTGACTAGTTGATTATTAAAATAGTCGTTAGTTGCAGCCCTAGCATTAACCAGTATAGAAATCTTTTGTTAGATCATATTACACGTGAGACAGCCTCTACTTCTTTGAATCAATCTCTCTGGGCTCCTTTGATCGATTCCATCCCATAGCCATGATGGGGGGTCATTGATATTGTCCTGCGAGAAGTTGTGGGTGATGGGGTGGAGGATCTGGGATTGGAGTATCCAGACATTCCCCGGAAGTGGGTCCACTGTGGGTGTCTGGGACTGGGGGGGCTGCTGCCCCGCTCTGGAGGTGCTTGGGTTGCCTCGGGATGGACTACTGGCGGTTATGAATGGGGCCTCTTCTACACTTCCATTTCTTTCTAAGGTTCTTAAGAAAGTCAATTTAAAGCAATTGTTAAACTATCTAGATGCTAACCAAATTTTAGAAGTCTTTCAATCTACACTGAAGCGGGTGACAGTCTTTTAATTGCTCCTTGATTTGACTGTGGCCTTCGTCTTGAGAAGTGTGTTGGTATCACTGGCTCAGCACTCTGTTGGAGGAGTTCCTATCTGTCAGATAGAGGTATGTGACGGTTAGGATTGGAAGTTTTAGCTCAAGTGATGCTCTCCTGGGGTCCCACAGGGCTCTGTCCTTGGCCTCTGCTTTTTAATGAACTTTTTACATGCTCCCACTTGGTGCTATTTTTAAGAAATGTGGCCTTGACTTTCATTTTTATGCCGATGACTGTCAGGTCTATGCCCTCACTTAATTTAAGAAAATAGCTCTATTGTGCCTTCGTGAGGTTAAGGACTGGATGAGCTGTAATTTCTTGTAGATTAATGAGTCTAAGACTGAGCTAATGACACTTGCGCCAAGTGGCTTTCCTGTATTTCTTCAGTCTTTGGTGAATGGCCTTTCAAATGGTTCAAAGGACGTGGTGTCTAATCTGGGTTTTAAGGTTGATTGTCAGCTTAATTTTGATTTACAAGTTAATAATGTTGTTCGATCAAGTTTTTTTCAGCTGAGAAATATTTACAAATTGAGGTCTTTTTTGCTTAAGAACAATTTGGAGAAGCTACATACATGCATTTATTACTTCTCACTTAGACTATTGTAATAGTCTTTACCTCGGCATTAGACAAAGGTTGCAGCTAGTTCAGAATGCTGCAGCCTGTCTTTTGACTGGCACTTGTAGATTTTATCACATTACTCCAGTTCTTGCCTCTCTGCACTGGGTTCTGGTTAGGATCGGTGTGCAAATGAAGATTTTGGTCATGGCTTATAAATGTTTAAATGGCCTTGCATGTGGCTATCTTTCTGAGCTTCTCGTGCATTATGTTCCATCTCGTGAACTGAGGTCAGCTGACCAAATTAGATTGAATTTCCCTAGGGCGAGGCCACAGAGAAGAGGTTTTAGGTCTTTGCGCCTACTCTTTGGAATATGTGACCAGTCACAGGTATCATCTGTTGCCATTTTTAAAAAGTTATTGAAGACTTAGGCCCTGTCCACACATTAGAGCCCTGCACGGGTCTAAAATCTGAGCCCGTGTCCGGTCCGGCCCGAGAAGGTTTTCAGTATTCTCTGGCCCGACCCGAGCCCGACTTTTTTTTTAACCTTCTATAATGTTTTAGGGTGACAGATTGCTCCGCATTCTAATTATCCGTGGGAAGTGTTCTGCAGTAAAAAAAAAAAAAAAAAGAAAAGAAAAGAAAAGAAAGAAAGAAAAACGGCATTCATGCTGCTTTTTTTCTAACAGAGCGTTAGAAAAAAAGCAGCATTCTAATTTTCTAACTGCAGAGCGCATTTGCAGAGCGGCAGATTAAATAAACGCCCCCGAATTAATAAAGCGTTTGTAAATTTAATCTGCTGCTCTGAAAATGCGCTCTCCAGTTAGAAAAAAGCAGCAATGAATGCTGTATTTTTTTAACTGCAGAGCGAATTTATTCACAGAGAAATAGAACGTTGCCGTTTTCATGAGAATAAACGAATGTTTCTGACATCAAAGTGGACATAAAATGGCATGTTAGAATAGGGGCACATGTTTCAATCAGCAGTTTGAGAATTCGTTCATATAGGCACATTTATAAACCACACACACCTTAACTGAGCTAACAGGTGCCGGTGCGTGAGAAGCAGGCAGGTGCTGCTGCGTTCAAGTGTTTCAGTTTTTTTTAATGAATTCGATTAAAAATAAAGGCGCCTGGCCCGTGTCCGAGGTAATTACAGTCGTTGGCCCGAAGCCCGGCCCTCGGGCCAGGCCGACCCGCGGGCCTGGGGTTTCAGTGCAGGGCTCTACCACACGTAGCCGGGGATCTGCCAAAACGTAGATATTTTTCTACGTTTTGGCCTGTCATCCACACGAAAACGGAGTTTTTTCACACGAAAACGGAGTTTTTTCACACGAAAACGGATCTTTCTAAAAACTCCGGCCAAAGTGAAGATCTGCGTTTTCTCCGTTTTGGGTGTCTGCGTGTGGACGGACAAAACCGGAGTTTTAAGGTCCGCAACGTCACTTTCCACGACAAAAAAATGCTGACATCACGTGTGCGACCTGTGTTTACACTAGCCGACAGCATGGAAGCCCTCAGAGCTGCGCTCGCTTTATCAATCGTCCAAGCGCTTTCTGCTTGTTTGTTTTTGCAAGCAGAATTACTGCTCCTTGAGGATGACCACAGACGAAGGACGAGGTTAAGAACGGGGGAAGTACTGCCGCCTACAGGTCTGGCATGTCCTTAACAACGTATTTATCTGGGTACGTGTGGACAGTTTCTTTTTAAAACGAGGCGGTGTGGATGCAAGTTTCTGGAGGGGCGGATATTCGTTTTTAAAAAAAAAACCGGCTATGTGTGGACTAGGGCTTATTCTTACTCCAAAGCTTTTAACACCTTAGGCTGACATGGTGGTCCCATCTTTATGACTCTTGGTGTCTGATTTTATTTTTGTGCTTATTTGATGTTTTTTAATTGACTTGTCATTTTATTGTATTTTAAATTTTTTATGTTAAGCACTTTGGGCAACATTATTGCACTAATCTGCTTGTGACGGCTACCAGCCTGGCCACTGGGAGGCAGGAGCCAGGATCACCCAGCCCTGGTGATCAGCCTGACACCGCCCCTCCTCCTCCTCCTCCTCTCTTCCAGACTGCTGAGGAGCACAGCTGAGCTGAATCCTGCTGACGACCAACACCTGGGATAAAAAGGCTGTGCCTTCAGCAGTCTGGGAGGCAGATGCATCTAAGAATACTGCAGATCATATTGGAATAGCTTTTATTGTTCCTGAGTTTCATGTTAGGGTAAAAAAAGAGTAGTGAGTGATGGATTGTCAGTATACACAGCAGAAATGCTCGCTATACTGTTAGCTGTTTAATGGGTGGAAGAAAACAGACCATTATTCTCAGTTATTTGTTCAGACTCCAGCTCATCATTAACCAGTTTACAGTGCAACCATTCAGAAAGCAGACCAGACATACTCCTAGAGATTCAGCTAACACTTTATAGGATAAGCATGATGGGACTTGTAATACATTTTTATGGATTCCAGCTCATTGTGGAATCAGAGGTGATGAAGGAGTCGATAAGATGGCTAAGGAAGCAACAATAAATACATCGGTTCAGTTAGATGTTCACTTTGTCAAAAAGAGATGAAGAGCATAATAAGGCAAGAAATGAAGAAGAAATGGCAAAAACAATGGGAGGAGGAGAGGAGGAGAAGATGGTTGTATAGAATTCAAAGAAGAGTGGGAGAAATGAGGAACACTGGAAGGAGTAGGAGAGAGGAGGTGATCATTGCTAGGCTAAGGTTTGGACATACTGGGTTAAACAATACTTTATTCATGATAGGGAAACATAATACAGGGAAATGTGATTATTGTGGAGAAGAAGAAACTATAGATCATGTTTTATTACAATGTCAGAAATATCGGGCGGAAAGAAGGACAATGGTTCACACTCTTAGTCAGATGAAAGTGAAACTGGACCTTATTGATTTATTGAGACAGAATTCAAAAAGTCACTGTTTTCAGATTTTATTTCAGTTTTTAAATGAGATAAGGATGGTTTGGGAGAATTTGATGTGTAAAAAAAAAAAATATATATATATATATATTATTTCCCCCCTGTTTGATTTTGTTTAATGAGTGCTGTTCCAGACCACACTCCACACTAGTTGGTGGCGGTAATGCACCATTCGTTGTTTGCCAACCGCCAATAAAACACCAGAAGAAGTCTGGGAGGCAGCAGTGCAGGGGTTCTGCTGTCCTCCAGGCCTCAGTTTGTTTTAAACCCCTTCGAGTTGAAGAGTTTTAACTTTTATAGTTCTAACTCTGAGTCATCCAGAGGGTTTGTTTTAAAGGTTAACTCTGTGATACAATTTTGTGGTGGAAGCTAGCTAGTAATAAAATTTGGATACCGCCCAAGCCTACGAGGTTCTTCCCAAAAGTAAAAGAATAACTTTGTTGACAGTGAGATTGAGACACTGGATGAAGAGCTGCAAATGAACCAAGCCAGTTGCTGAGGTTTTAAACATGGTCGGGATAGAGGACAGGTTCTCGTCAGAAACATTAAAACATTTCATCTGTTGCAAAGCAATTCCCCGCCAGGACTACAGAGGGCGTAGTGCTGTTCTGTTCTGTTCTGCCACATAACACTCATGTATCGGGTCCACGATAGTGCATTTACTTTTGTGTTTATATATATTTCAGAGACTTTAAAACACGAATAAATTGGTCCTTCATTCTCCTCCACCCCGTCATGCGAACTGAAAAAGTTCTCCCAAATACTGGCTGGTAGAACTTACTCTGGCTTTCAGGTTTTGGATTTCCCCCCCGACACAACAGGCCCCACCATCACTTTTCCTGGAAACAAAAGTGAAAAATAAAAATGGCACCACTAAATCCAGTGGCTCCACGCTTTAGAAAAGAAAATATGATTACCTTGAATCTACATTTCTGAAAAAGCTACTGAGAGCCTCGTCATAGATTCCACTCTAAAACGGAGAAAAACTCATGGTTAGAGGACAGAGATGTGAGCATGTTCATAAGAAAACTGATCAGGAAATACAGTTGATGGGATCTCAATTTATTGATGTAGTTTAGTGCAATGTGTTCAAAGGTCACATGACAGAAAAATTGTCAGGTGGCAAACCACAAACCAAACTGTTACAACATGACATCTTCATTCATCTCATGAACCTCTTCATCCTGAGCAGGTGGATGTAGTTGTTGCAAACACCATTACAAAAGAAGGAATGTGTCCTCTGAGGAAGACACCTTGTCAAAACATTGGTTTGTTTATTTGCACCTATTAATTTTTTTTACATTGACCCAAGTGCTCGAGCCCACTTCCTTTTTCTAAATCACTGTTGATCCTAGCTGTTGAGTACCAGTACTCAATGGGATGTAGCACAGTTATTTTCACCATTAGAAAATCTTTAGTCAGGATGTAGAGATCCTCATGGCAGAGAATCAGCTTACGGTGCCTTTACCGGTTTATAAGTGGACAGCAGTAGCTTAGGAGGGAGTGCAGACTGTCCAGTGGGGATTGTATGATCCTGGCTCCCTGCAGAGAATGCTGCTGTTGTGTCCTTTGACAAGACAATTAACCCACCTTGGCTGCTGGTGGTGGTCTGAGACTTGGTAGGCCTATCAGGATCTGGTCTGGAGTGGTTCTCCTCTAATCTGTCTGAGTGTTCCTTCTCTGTGGCCACTCACAAGATTTGGTCCTCAACCACCTTCCTCACCCATGGTGTCCCACAAGGTTCTCTGCTGGGGCCTCTACTCTTCCTCCTCTATCTGCTTCCTCTTCAGCACATCCTGAGCTCCTTCAAAGGAATCTCCTACCATCTTTATGCAGATGACATCCAACTGTACATCTCCTTTAAGCCCCATGAGATGTCTAAGCTGCAGCTGTTACACACCTGCAGCTGTTACACACCTGCTTAGACTCTATCAAAACCTGGATGGTGGGAGCTTTCTTCAGCTGAATGAAGATAAGACTGAGATCCTCATCTGTGCTCCAGACAAGCTGGTTCCCAAAGTCAGAGAATCTCTTGGTCAGCTTGCTTCTCACACCAAATCTTCAGTCAGGAATCTTGGAGTGACCTTTGACCCAGCTCTCACCCTGGATTCGCATGTCAGTTCTCTTGTTGGCTCTTCCTTCTTCCATCTCAGGAACAGAAGAAGCTCATTCCAAAGTCTTGGACCCATCACGGACAATACACAATTCCCCCGTGTCTTAAATTTTGACAGTGAACTACCATCAGCTCTCTTATCAGCTAAGCAAAGGGCTCGTGATGGAGCATGCCTCTGTAGGAGGCTGGTAAGGTATGCTGGTGCAGCTCCCTGAAGAGCTTTGTTCACCAATGTCAGCAACTTGAATTTGAAAGAAGAAAAAACACTTTTATATAGCGCCTCTCAAAATAAAAATCACGAGGCCATCAATCCCTCCATTCATTATCTTTGATTTATTCAGAGTCAAGTTGTGGGGGTGTAGCGTTATGAAAATGCTATTTTCTGCCCATAACAGCTGCCCTTTTAACACAGTGACAGTGTGCACGAATTGCCACGGTCGTGCGCTTGCTTTGGTGTTTACATTCCAGGAAAGAAGACAGAAGAAGGACGAAGAACGCTTTTCATTAATCAAAGAACTTTATTTCTAATAAAGCTAATCAAAACAAATGTTGGTCAATAATAATCAGGTGACTGATCTGTGAAATCAATGTAATGATTTATGTGTTTATTGAATAACAGGACTAACTCAGCCAGACATCCTGATTCACACAAGGTAAACATCATGACACATTGTTCTCATCCAATCAGAACTTCCTTTCTGTTGCAGAGCAGAATCTGGAGTGTTTAGTTCATCTGTCCACTCCGACTTGCTAAGAATTATAAACAACTAAGTTGATAAAACAGAGCAACGCCATTTTAACTTCAGTTCCATCTCTGTTCCGTCTGAGTTTACATCTGAGCTCCATCAGAGATTCAACGTAGTTTCGACCAGCTCTCAAATCATCATCGCTAAAGGGAATTACAGACTGGCCAGCTGTATTTTCTACTTTTAAGCTGAGAACTGTCAAGCTGGAAAATTCTGTCGTTTTAACAAGACGACGGTTCCTTCAAAATAAAAGCTGAACGCGCTGACATCTGCCGCTGCTACCGGGAGCCGATCCGCAGACGGGTTTTGTCGTGCTGCAGACGCTGTTTCATCAGTTCCAGTACCAAGGAAGGTCCGAGGACCTGACATTCCTGATCTGACCCGGGAGGCTCCGAAACGGTACGTAGACCGACACAGATGGCGTTTCATGTCTCTTCCTCCTGAAGCCCTCGTGATTCGTAGTCAAAACATCTGACACCCAGATCCGCCTGCCTCAGCTGGAGATTCTGAACTGACACACACACACACACACACCAACGCTTCAACATCCAAATCCATATACATCCATCATATAGTTAGTCCTGGTGATTGTTTGAATAATAATTATACAAATTAAATATTCTTAAACGATCCCATCTCTCTCTTTTCTTGTCAATACAAAGTGTTTGAATAAAACTCCCTGAAGTAAAAACAACCTCTTCTGATTATAAGTGCCCAGTCCATAGATTAATCTCTGGACGTAATAAAAGTGTAAAGAATATATCAACTACATTCCGCTACAGGGGTAAACGGCCTTAGTCAAGAAGCCCGGACTTCCCTTCCCCAGCCACTTGCGCCAGCACTTCTGGGAGAACCCCAAGGTGTTCTCTGGCCAGGCAGGAGACATAGTCCCTCCGTGTCCTTGGTCTTCCTTTAGGTCCCCTCCCGGTTGGACGTGCCTGGAAAACCTCACCAGGGATGCGTCCAGGATTCATCTTTATCAGATGCCTTTCGATGCGGAGTAGCAGCAGGGCTACTCCGAGCCCCTCCCGGATGACCGTGATTCTCACCCTATCTCTAAGGGAAAGCCCATACACCCTGCAGAGAAAACTCATTTTGGATGCTTGTATCCGCAATCTCGTTCTTTCGTTCACTCCCCAGATACTACACACTTGATCTTAGCCAAAAGGCCCCAAAGCTCATGATTTTAGGCGATGGTAGGAATGTAGATTTACCAGCAAATCGAGAGCTTTGCTTTTTAGTTACGCTCTCGCTTCACCACGACAGACCGGTACAATGGCTGCATCACTGCAGACTCGGCACCAATCCGTCTGTCGATCTCACGCTCCATTTTCCCCTCGCTAGTTAACAAGACCCCAAGATACTTATCCCCCTGTAGTTGGAACACACCCTGCAGTATCCCCTTTTAAATAGGGGGACCACCACCCCGGTCTGCCAATCCAGTGGAACTCCCCCCAATGTTCATGCAATATTGCATCAGCCAACACAGCCCCACAACATCCAGAGCCTTAATCTACTCTGGGTGGATCTTCCCCGGAGCCTTGCTTTTTGACAACCCCAGGCACCTCAGCCCCAGAGATTGGAGAGTCCAAAACAAAGTCCCCATGCTCTGCTTCCTCGCACGTCTAACTGCTTGGTCAAACATGTCAGTGGGGCTGTATAAGAAACTTGAGCGGGTGCTCAGCTTTTCAAGCCTAGGAACAGTTACTAGAACAGGCGGACGGCTACTCCCATTTCCCAGGGCAGTCGGGACGCACGGACCGGTTCCGATGCGAGGCTGTAGTCATGCTGGTCACTTGTGGATTTCTGAGGGAGACCACTGAAACACTGCAGCTCTTTTAGTTGATGCTGCTTCACTTTTGAGTCGCTCAATCACATTTTCCTCACTCATAGTTTGTAGGTTGAATGGGGGAAAATTCTATGCATTTACCGTAACACCACTTGGTCTAAGATGGGTTGAACTATAACTTGCTGATGTGGCTGCTGGGTATTAAAACTAGAGCTTCATATCTGACCGAGGATAGCGAAGGCTATCGGGCTTTGCTGTTCCACCACAGTCAAAGATCCGCAAGTCCACCGTTGTCGATGGTCCCGATGTACCACGACATGGCTCTCGGCTCTGTGTAGACGCAGCACCAGTAGTCAAGTCTACCGTGTTTTTCTTGCGAAAAATGCCTGGAAAAACTCTGTTAGCTTCGGTTTAGCATGTAGCTAATGCACTACTAATCTCCGACCACGGAACAAGAACTGATGTAAAAGGCCATGATGCTACGATTGCAGCAGTCTGAGCCTATGCTTGTAATTAAACAGTCGCAGTCCATATTAAGACTCAAGACAACTTAATTAGTCCCCGAAGGGCAATCTGAAACAGCATTGTGAAGCAGCAGACACTAAAATCTCTAAGTTCTAAAAACTCAATCAATTTACATATTCATAAAACCCATAAAACCTATATACGCATTCACGTCATACCATATTAGATCTTACAAGCAACCAGCATGACTACAGCCTGGCCTTCCAGACTCCTCCTCTGTTTAATTCTGTACAGAGAAAGGGTCTGGTAACTCTCCTATTCAAATAACCCCGCCCCCTAAGAATTTTAAAACACCATACCGCCGAGTTTGTCACAAACATGGCGACTGAAGCAGAGTTCGCTGTGGCTCATTCCTCTGGTCTAAATGACTTGAATGTCTTTATAACCACAGCAAGTAGAAGCGCTAAAAGTCTTTCTCCTAAAGAAGGGTGTTTGCGCAGCTGCCAGATGTCTTTTTGGACAACAGCTAAACTACAGTGTTGCGTGGTACAGTCGGCATTTCCGTCTTTTTTCCTGATTGGTTATTTTTGAGCTGCCTAGTCCCGTCCGTCAAGTGTCTCTCTGCCTGTGAGTTGCCAGACTCATTCTCTCTCAGAATTAAACAAAGGATGAGTCTGGCAGGCCAGGCTACATGACTACAGCCTTGCACAGAAACAAGTCGGTCCTGCGGGTGGGCTTTCCCGGTCCCCAGAGCCTCGTCTTGGATTCTGGGTTAGCTAAGTTAGCTAATAAGCTCATTTGTTCCAACCAAAACAACCCCACCCTCAGCTCCATCTCTTCTCCCAATTTTGGATGTCTGGGTGTGATGAGATGTGTGACACTGTTAAAATGGCGGTGGTGGAAACCTCCCATTAAGAAACAAAAACTTATATTTCCAGCCTATGGAAATTATTTGTCCAGTATATTTGCCGATGGCCCAGACAAGGGATTGGTGTATTTACTGGTCCAGAAAGGGGACAACATCCACTCAACACTTCATTTCAAATATGTAAATAGGACAGCTAGCTAAATATGTAGACTGAATTTAATTATAAAATAGGCACATGTCTTTAGTGTTTTTGTCCTTACCTTATTGACACTTGCGTGCTCTTGCAGAGCAAGATCCCAAAACCTACAGCCAACTTGGTTTCCACACTGTCCAACTGCAGAAACACATTCCAGATAAACAGCAGTTTAGTTAGTTTTACGTTGGTTAAAGGAGTCGATCAGTTGTTTAATCAACACATTTACTGTCGTCTCAAGTAGGAATAAATGCTTTGTAAGTCCTTCTCGGGGAAGGGAGTATACTAGTGTGCCATTTCCGGGAAAAAAGACTGACAGTATGTCGTAGATCTGTCAGGCTTTTCTTTCCTAGAGTTTCACCATCAATTTCAAAAATCAGAAGCTAATGCAGGAGACTATTTTCATGTTCAGCCCGTGTAAAAAACTCAATGACCGATTAAAATCTGAAATAATTAAAAATGGGTTTTCTGTGACCCCCACCTTCAAAGGTGAACTATGTAAGAATTGATTAACAGTGACCTCCTGTGGTCAGATTTGGTTACTGCAATTTAAGTTTCTGTGGTTTGCCATGTAGTGATAGGAATCTAAAGTTAATGTTTTAACAACAATGAAATACTCCGTGTTTTCACAATTATGTACTACTTTAAAAAAAACATACTATACCATACCAAGTTTATTTCTATAACACATTTTAAAACAAGATGGCAGCTAATCAAAGTGATGAACAAAGATGCAACAATGATAAAAAAAAAACGGCTTAAAAAATCAAACAGTGACATCAAATTATTAAATCAGTGTTAAAAATCTACATAACATAATACAGTAATGTATAATAAAGTGGAGAAAAAACTAGAGCAACGTTAGAATCACACACCTAACAAATGTATAAACCTGTATGTTTTACATCAAAACATTATTATTATATAATGAATATTGAAGGAATTATTTCACTTGGCGAATCACAACAAAAATAAAACGTACTGTAGTTGTAAACGCAACTGTGTACAAAAAAAGGATGAAAAAAAAAAACAAAATTAGATGAGAAGTCTATATTTTGCTTATTTGTAGCTATTGTGAGGAGCCAAATGAGGAACTAAATCTCCGCGTTAGCCCGGAGACCCCAAGATTCCCTCATAAAAGCTGGCGGTAGCTCCCATGATGAAGGAGGTCTGGTCTGTGGATGGACGACTGCTTCCCCACCACGACTATTTTTCTTGATCGTTTATACCCTGGCTTTTTGGCTGATGTTGCTGTGTTGAAATTTCTTGATTGATTAAAAGGGTTACTTTTTATTAGAACCCAAAAGACAAACCTCGTCTCGCGAGTCGTTTTATTCATCCAAGCCATTTAGATAATTGCATAGCTGATAGCTCCTTTCTCATAAGAGGAACTTCAGCCTAGCTCAGGCCCTTTACTCCTAACCCCAAAATTCCACTATTTCCGCTCCGGTCCGCCCCCGCCCTCCGCTGCCGCTCGCTTCCGAACTCAATTTTTACTGGTACCCGCTCTACAACGGCTCCGCTCCGGTGCGGAGACCTGAGGTGCGCAAACAGACATGCACGGGATTTTCGAGATCTTGCGATACAGTCTGAGCAATAAACACGGAAGTTAGATCCAAACACCCGTTGTGTGGGAGAAGCATCGGCATGAACGGTTTAATCTGCCATCATTTGTGTTGAGAGATCAGCAGTGTTTGGATCAACAAAGTGTGACTACTTTGATAGTAGAAACTGTATTTATGGCTTACTTTTGTGCATTTAAAGTTCAGCCGCCATTGATAGTTGTTAAAAGTTGTTAAACCTGTGCATATGAAACAAAAAACGCCTTTTGTTTATCGATTTATTGTGAAATAACGGAAGTTGTGCTTGCTCCTTTTCCTGTTGGGCGTTTGTGATTTCTTTCCATTGACTGCGGAGGTGCTCCGGCGTCCGGCAAAAATAGAATCGATCCTATTTTTGCCGGAGGGCGGCGCACTGCGCCACACGGCAGCAGAAGTGGAACAGCTCTGATTGACTACAACGGGACCGTTTTTGTTGCGGATTTCGTGCCAGAGCGGAGCGCAGCGGAGCGGAGATAATGGAATTTTGGGGTAACCCCAGAAGCCGGCTGGAATCAACAAGGCTCGAGCAGCGTCTCTGGATCTGAAGCTGCACGCTCGCTGCATCAGAATTCTATGATACCCTTGCCACCAGTTTGGTGGGATTAAGAGAACAGGATCGTGTGGAGAAACTTTTCCTGGCCAGTACAATCCACTGGGTCCAAACCAGCAAGAGGTAAGCCAGGAACTAGACCCACTTGAATAGCCCGGTCTAGTTCCCCACCAAAGTAAGGCCTCTGCGAGCACAAGCCGGGCCTGTCCATTCAAAAGGTCAGGGGCTGTACCGGTATGCTGGATCACAAGTAAGGCATTTAAAGAGTTAAATGCGTCGATAGAGCCGTGATGACGAGATTAGGGCTGTCGCGGTAACCGCAAAAATGAAATATCGCAATATGAAGAAGCCCACCGCGCTGCATCATGGGCCACCGCGATTACTGAACTTGACTCAACTCAATGATGCATGTTGAGAAGGATGGCTGCACTGGTATCAACACGAAACGTTACTTCGCTCCTTTGGGAGCACTTTGGTTTTCAGTACGTCAGCTGCTGCGCAGCCAGAGTCCTTGGCCGAGACAGAGCCGCCACCAGCGGCAAAAATAAATAAATAAATAAATGCTCGGAGACCTGCTGAAGTACGGGACAAGCACTGCTTCTGCAACCGTCCTGAAGAGAGTTGGAGCCGAGCTGGAGCTCACTCGCTACCTGCAGGAGGAATGCATCCACCCTAAAGAAACCCCCCTGACATGGTGGAGCAACAACCGGGAGAGATTCCCTTTGCTCGCCAGAGTCGCACGCAAGTACGTGTGCGTTAGTGCAACGAGCGCACCATCCGAGAGGGTTTTCAGTGTTGCTGCAAATGTTGCCACCCCTCTCAGATCCTCTCTCAAACCATAGTTAACATGCTGGTTTTCCTTGTAGGTAACAAGGACGTGACCGAGCTATAAATCACCGTCATTCGTGTGTGTGAAAGTGAAATGATAGTGCGCCCCAATCCCCCGCCCCGCGCGCCCGGTACATGTAATTTTTTTATGCTTTATTTTAAACAACTAAACAAAATGGGGACTTGTTTCTTATTTGTTAGATGCTGCAGCCAAATTTGCATTTAAAAGTTTAACCTCCTGAATTTTGTTGTTTTTAAGTTCAGTCGGACTCCGACTGTCGGAGAAACAAACGTTACTGCGATCTGTGTTGTTACTGCCCTTTGATCTGCATTCAGTAAAGCGTTATAAAAGCAGGCACGGCAATTTTTAACCTTTTTTAAATGTGTAAACGTTATGTTTAGATAGTACTGCAATAAAAAAAAGGACTGCAATAATATCGCACACCGCAATATTAAGCCACCCTGAATCACCGCAGGGGGAATTCCTCAACCGCGACAGCCCTAGACGAGATGAATTTCAAAAGAGGAACTGATAAAATAAGATTAACTAGACAGGTAGAGCTCTCACTAGGAGACAGTATCCAGCCTTAAAATTAAGCAGTTATTAGTGGTCCTATGGCGACGAGCACTCTATTGTTCTTCAGTAGATGCAATTACATCATCATACATTTAGCTTAACATGATGGATTTATTTTTCTCTGGACAAGAAATATACGATATGGGCCACCTCTAGATGACATTTAAATAATTTTACATTAATTATAAATATATAATTAAAAAGTGCCTGTGGGACATTTGATACACCTCTAGCTCTCAACTGTGTGTGTGTGTGTGTGTGTGTGTGTGTGTGTGTGTGTGTTTGTTAACAGACATCTTCACCAGTGTTTCTAAAGCTCAGACTGGTAGAGATTAATTCAATCCCCCCCCCTTGTATCTTCCTTCCTCTTTCACCTCAGTCTGTCTGGTCGGAATTATAGAACACCAAAAAATACTGAAAATAAAGTTTTAAGTATCAGGCGTGACATTAAAAGCAGAAGCTGTGATGCTCCACCTGAGAGTAAGTCTGTAAGGCTTGTTACCAGCATTCAGACATTAATTCCATTTGCTTCACAGCCAGAGAGGACACGAAAAAAATTAAAAATTAAAATATGGGGCCTTTTTCCAGACCCCCATCTGCCTTTGGTGACGTGTATATACAAACTGAATTTAGGTAATTAATCATGATTTGATCGTATAATATTGGAGCCTCCAAGGTTTATTTTATTATTAAGATCTTTACACAAAGCTTCCTCCTGTTTTGTCTGATTCAAAAAAATCCAGGAATTGGGGGAAACATTTATTGTTTGTTGCAAACTTTAACATAACATGACAAAAAAAATTGGATTAGCTAAAAATAAAATGCAAGAAAAGAGGCACAGGGAACTGCAGCCTTTCTGAGAGGAATACTGGACAGAGTTGTCAACAGTGGCGTGGCTACAGATGCCATTGTTAAACAAAATGACATCAGTACTTGGCTAACTATCACGATATCTTTGTACTTTTTGCTTCATAATAAAAGTTCAAAATGCATTGACAATAGAAGACAAGAGCCTTCATTCAGTTAAGGGCTAATTAATTATGCTTAAGCAGACTCAGAGGATGAAATAAATAAATAACAGTGTCTCATATGGTGTCAGCCACTTCAGCAGACCTGCCCTCCTCCCTCTTTGAATATATAGACACCTTGATGAGCGCCGGAGGGCATAACGGCATCGCCGCCATAATGGATGGGTCTCCTCACTCTCCAAAGGCAATTGCTGGGTTTCACTCATGTGACGTCTGTAGCCACGCAAAACTCAAAAGGGGGACAGGAAGTGTTTTGCTCCACACAAAAAAAACCAGAGATACAACACAGCGCGATGGATGAAAGCGATTTTACTAAGGCTTTAAACACGCTGGCGCAGACTCGATAACACGGAAGGCACTGGCTACTTCCGGACCCCTGTCTGCCTTTGGTGACGTAGATGCAACGTCATGTGAAACCCAGCAATGCAGGGTAAGCAACGATGCCCTTTTTTGTGGAGCCTGAGTTACAACAACCAGCTTATTATTGAAGACAAATTATGTGGGCTTACTAGTGTGACGTTTCAAGCCTACCTGAAGACATTTTATATTTAAATTTATTTTATTTATTTTGTTTAGTTATATTTACATGTCATACCTTGTGTCTGATGTTGTGAAGAAGCATAGTGTTTTTAGTTGGGTAAGCACCTTTCTCACAAATGCACTGGGGATGATAAGAGACCCATCTAAGATGGCGGCCGGCCACTACGGCAGCGTAATGTAACGTCTACGTATCTGTGATATCCATATCACAAACCGTTACTGATGATTCTAAGTGAAGCACCACGTAACAGAGTGAGTAGATGATCGCGTGCCGACAGCTCGTGATGAAAAGCCACCACTGACCAAGAGCTACGTAGGAAACGTTTAACTTCACCTAACTTCGCCGTTGTCCGAGAACAGCTCCACCACAAAGGAACACAGCTGCAGCCTCCCGTCGCGTTCCACTCACCTTGAACAACCACGGACTCTGTCATGGCAGCGGCAGCGCTTCCTTGAGTCTGTTACTCCACCAACACGATGGTTGTCATACCTCAGTCGTCAGAGACGAATCTCTGGTAGTGACAGCTCATACCCATGGGCTTACCGCTCAAATTTCTACCTTGGTGCGCGTGCTGATGACGATTACCATAGCCATAGCAGCTAGACGTGTGACCGCTAGTGCGAGCGGTGGCGCCGCCATCTTGGATCGGTCGAGCCCCTCTGACAGAGATATTCAAGTGCCAGCCTGCTAAATCAACCATAACTCGTTGAATTCGGCACCGATTTTGATGCGGTTTTTTTTTCCTGCAAACTTCACACATGTAGCTCTGATACAGGACACATGTTTTAGTGTTTTTAATAACAGTGATGTGGGTGCATATGTGACTCTTGTCCAGAGCCTAGAGTCAAAATTTATAGAAAAAAAGGATCAATCACTAAAAATCAAGCAATGAGAATCTAATTAATTTTAAAGAGTTCATCCAACAAATGTGTGAGATCGATGGCAGGCATTTCTAAAAAACACTTAATATATGATAGAGAAGCAGAAACTACTACTCAGCCATTTTAATAAATATATACAACATAATTATTATATATAATAGAAGTGTTTGAAATTCATATAGTGGCAATATAAGTCAGAGAGGGTGAGGGAGAACAGCTAGAACAAAGTATGGACGACAAGAACACGACAAAACATCCATCTGAACTGTGATGTTCTGGTTCTGTTGGGTTTTTGTGTCTCTGACTTTCTGCAGATCTAGAAGCTGCTGCTTGTTCATCCTTTATTGTTTATTTTTGTGAACTTTCCTCATCTCTTCCTTTCCTCTCCCCGTTCTCTTTCATCCGTCTCAGTGTCCAGTGGCGCAAAAAGTGGGTTTGCAGTGTATGCGACGCATAGGGGCGCTGTGCTAGAGGGGGTGCCTAAGCAATGATGGGGGGGGAAAAGGGCATTTTTGTGTTTCATAGCTGTTTGTGCATGTGTAAATTAAATAATTATTAAATGAAGCAAGCGACTGGGCGCCCCTCCTCAGCCCTGCTCCACGCCCCTGCCCCACACTCACACACACACACACACACACACACACACAGAGAAGGTGAACACACTTGACGAGTCCAGCGCGTGCGCCCGCAAATACGCACTGGGGCACGAGTGTTTTCATTTGAATGATATCCACTGTCATCTGATCAGCTAGCTAGGTTAGCTAGAGATGGAAAGACTGAGAATAAAAAGCTCTCTGGGGCACAACAGAAAACGGAAGAGGGAAAAGGAAAATGATTTCGTAGGGATGAAAAAAACTTTTCAAAGTGGTTGAAAGACGGTAAGTCATCGCAAGAAGGCATAGTTATCTGAAGCTGCTAGCCTGCCACTAGTAAAATAACAGGTTACGGGTGTCTTCTGTATCGATCACAAGATCAGGGTTTTAATCTCACATATATGGCAAGCCAGAACCGCCACAATACGCCATTTTCCCAACCCGTCTAGCTAAGAGATGGCGAAAAAAAACGCTGTTTAATGTGTCAAGACGTCGTAAAATACGGCAAACTCTCCCAGAACACCGTATTTGACCCCAGCCAGAGCCGTTCTGCACGGCCCCGTAGAACGCCGGAAAAAACGTTTTTTTCCGGACATTGAACGCCGTTTTTTATGTCACCCTCATCCCAGACGCATTCCCTGTGTGGGTGGCGTAAAAAACGGCATTTTTACGGACATTGAACGCTGCTTTTTTCGCCGCTCTGCGACATAAAAGGCAGCTTTTAACGCCACTTTGTGACAGTTTTCACGCGTTTAAAATCCAACTTTGCTCTCATTTATGCAGAGCCCTCCCCCTGGGTTTCTCATCCACTTAATTTAAACTCCAGTGACCCAATGAAAGAAGAGGTTGAGGCAGCACTAATTCATCACAGATTCGTCGGGCTGCAGAGGTTGCTGCAGACTACTGTTTTCTAATACAACTCGGCTCTATTTCAACTAATTTCACTGTATCGTTAAAGTCATTAAATGTAGTAATATTACCAACAATGTGTCAACATTATTATTTTTCTATCCACCTGTAAAAGGCAGAAACGCAGTTTCAGTCAGACCTGATGATTTAAAGGTTTGGCCACGAGATGGCGCCACATATCAGTCTGTCTTCATTTCGTGGCTCATGATGAGTCCAGCTGGAACATCAGTGCTCTTTCTGTCAAACTCCCTTCTTAAGCTCATCCACTTTGAGTATTTACTATTAATTTTTACTATTGTTACACTTGTCTTACAGGAGCTTCTGAAGATGTTCTGTCTTGCTTCTCCATCATCACTCTCCAGATCCTCAGACCAGCCACTCCAGAACATTCCCAGATCCAGGATCAGAGCACTTTAATAAAAGTTTGAAACATGTCTGCTTGTTGTTCTCCTATAGAAGCCTTAAACTAGAATTTGCTAATGAGCATTCTTGGCTAAAAATATGCTCTTGAATTATTTTATTTAAATAAATATTTCAAGAAAAACGTTTTTATTGCTGCTTCACCAGAGCCATAGGACTCTGAAAATGTCCTCATGATCCTGAAACACTGGTTAAAACAAATTACTTTTAACCTCTTATAAAACAAACGTGTCTGTTGATGATTATGCCCACTACAATACTGAAGCACCTGCATACTTGCTACTGATTTGCTAACTTTCTGTAATATTTGATATTTAAGTTGAAAACATGAACTGCTGTAACACAAAGTTTAAACGTTCTAGATGAGCACTTGTTTCTAATCAACTAATCATTATTTCTGTGATTAGTCAGCTTTTTTTCTTTTCAATAAACACATGGAAAAATTACATTACTGAAAAAATGGTTTAACAGTGTTGCACAGGTATAATAATCTGCACTGGTTTTGACACTTACGGCATTCTTCAAACTATAATAATAAAAGAAAGTGTTACAACCCGTCTAGGAGGGCCAGGTTGTGACAAAGAAATGGTTCCATCTTCCACCAATTACAAACCACCACACCAGAATTCAGCGTACAATAATTTATTCACAAGTTCAAGGTGATGAACTAAGGACGAGGGAGGATTAATAACTCAGGGTGAACCAATGCCTAAAACAATAAACAAAACACGTCTAACTCCAGAATGACAACTGACCTACAAACTTAAAGGAAATGATTGACAACCAAACTTACCTCCCTGACTATCCAAAACAGGAGAAAACAGGAATGCAAAGAAAAAAGGCGGTTCACCCCTACAGAATCCTTGAATGGCAGGTAATGGTCACAAAAGCACAAGGGCATCACACAAACACAGAGCATCAAAATGGTGGCTGATTGGAATGAGTGGAGGATGAAGAACACAGCTGCATCTCATCAGGCTCCTTTTTAACAGCTTTGTCCCAGCTGACCTTCCAATCCAAACGTCCCCTGGCCATCATCCACCAATCCTAGGAGGGCACCTGCACACTCAAAACAACACTAGAAATAAGAATAGTATAAAAATAAAAGAAATTATGTTCCTTATGACCGTGGTCATAACAAAAGTGAAAAGATACTTATAATTGATTACTTCAAGTTCCTACTATTTACATTTTATGCATCGATACTGTAAATGGCTGTTTACTAAGGCATACAAATTCAGTGCCTGTACACAGGTGGTTTGCTTGTAAATGTACATATTTCTGTTCTATATGATCCTGTATTCTTCATTAATGCCACTTACAAATCCACGAGTCTGTAGAATTGCCTTGTTTGTTTGAGCAGGTATTGAACAATCCTTTTAGTTAAACTCCTGATTAACAGTAAAAAACTATCAAACTAAACTAGCTACAAGGCATCTTCCATCTGCTTAACTAACACCTAACAAAAAACATTTTCTTCAGCAGGAGGCACTTTATTCTTCAAAATATGTTACATATAAAATGGTAAAGGTATATAATGTAAAAATAATAGTAATGGGTAAAATTATATTAAGTGTAGGGCTGCACAATGTAGTCACAGCTGCCCTTGGGCCCACAGACAGACCGTTTCCTCTTATTGTATCCCAGTCACTATGGTAGTTGTTTCACTCATATGAGGACTCCAGAAATGATATTAGGCCAGTGATTAGTTCCATACCATGATTCCCTCTGGGGCCACTTAGTGGATTAAACTGTGCTACAACTTGCTCCATGACATCATCCTCCACAGCATATTCAGTAATTCTCTCTGGCCTGTCAACAAGCAATGCCAAGTCATCAGTCCCATGAACATCTGCAGCAGCAGCGTTTACACCTCCACAAGCAGCAAGTTTGGTCTCAAAGATGTCCTGCATAGCAGTTGATGGTCAGTCATGTTGTTCAAGGCTTCCTCGAACAAACATCTGTAATGGGCTTAAGTGTCTCTCTGTCCGTAAACCATGATTATACCACTGTTGAGTAAAGTCATTCAAGTCTCTGTTGATTCTTGGGAGATAGATGTAATGGAGCGCCCAAAGGTGCATCTCATTGTCAATATCAATGATGCCTTCATCCTCCAGGTGGTGAAATAAGTCCCAGTCAAGGCCGGATTAACCATATGGGCAACTGGGCAATTGCGCAGGGCCCACAAACTCTAAAGGGCCCTGGCCCAGGGCAGCAAGGGCACGAGCAAAATACTGTATCTGTAATCTCCCGCTTTACATTAAACTAGGGTGACCGTCCTGTTTTCCCCGGACATGTCCACTTTTCACTCTCTGTCCAGGCATCCGGGGGGTTCTCGTATTGATGAAAATGTCCGGTTTTTCATCCAGGAGCAGGGATCGAATTATGGGGGAGCTGGATATCCTACACATCCAGGGGAGCCGGAAAAAAGTTTTCTACCTATATTACATCATTTATGGACTCTTTTGAGCAGAGAGCACAGAGAGCAGCACAGCGCTGATCGTTGTAGCGCAGCGCTCCAGGCAGCTGCGTCCAGCACATGGTCCATTCTCAAAGTGGCGCAACCAAAAATGTGGTCTCACATTTAGCTGACTCTGATCTGTTTGAGGTTTTCCAATCAGGGTTCAGGTCTGGCCATAGCACAGTCAGCTCTACTGAGGGTCCTAATTGACCTCTATCTATCACTAGATCCGGGTACATCTCTGGTGCTTCTGTTGTTTGATCTGACGGCAGCCTTTGACACAGTTGACCACGCGATTCTACTCGATCGCTTGGAACGATGGGTTGGGATCAAAGGGT